GTGGCCAGCAGCCTCCATGGCCAGCGCAGTTCAGAAGTTGGCTTCTTCCTCCTACACACGTCTGCTCTGAAACACCACTGTGAAGGGCGAGGAGTATCAGCTCAAGACCCGCATTTGGCCAGAGGGTCATTTTTGGAAGGCCAAGGCCATGGGCAGTTGGTTCTCCCAAACCTTGTCTCTTCTCCAAACCCATTCTTTTAAAAAGAAATAAAGGAAGGAAGAAATACGTATATATTAATATATTGATTTCAGAGAGGGAGAGAGATAGAAACATCAATGATGAGAGATAATCATTGATTGGCTGCCTCCTGCACGCCCCCTACTGGAGATCAAGCCCGCAACCTGGGCCTGTGCCCTTGACCCAAATGGAGCCTGAGATTGACACTCTCTCCACTGAGCCAAACCAATTAGGGCTCCAAGCCCATTCTTTTTTTTAAAATATATATATTTTATTGATTTTCCACAGAGAGGAAAGGAGAGGGATAGAGAGCCAGAAACGTCAATGAGAGAGAAACATTGGCCAGCCGCCTCCTGCACATCCCCCACCGGGGATCTGCCCGCAACCAATGCACATGCCCTTGACCGGAATCGAACCTGGGACCTCTCAGTCCGCAGACCGACGCTTTACCACTGAGCCAAACTGGTTTCGGCTCCAAGCCCATTCTTAAACCTCCGGACTTTCCTCTCCAGCCAAGAACCTTGACACACCCTCTCCCCACAAGTCTCTCAGACTTGAGGGTTTCCACAGGGCCCATCTCCTTTCTGTGCCTCGCCTGGCTTTTCTCCCTCCCTCTCTCTCTCTCTCTCACCTTTTGCTCCTCTTGCCTCATCCCTATGACTATCTTCAGCTCTTCTTTTCCTTTCCCTCTCCTCCACGTCTGCCCCTGGCTCTCAGGGTGTCACCTGTGAAAAAGGAAGTTAATGTGTTTTGGGGGGTCCTGCAAAGGCATAATCACCCCTCCAGGTCACTCTCACCATTATCCTAATGTACAGATGAGAAAACGGAGGTGAAGAAGCATAGTTAACATACAAGCCCAGAATAAATGACTTGGGAGGGTGTAGAGGGGGGAGAACAAGCCCAAGACCACACAATTGGGAAGTGCCAAGGGCCGGGTCCACGCCAAGCTTATGGGCAGACTCCTAGTAGGTTGGGGAGAGGACTACACTTGGCACCTCAACCCTCCCCGTCTCCCTCCGGAAGATTCTTCAGGACTCAGTGTTTCTGTGGTGTCCATGCCCAGGTCCTAGCCCTTCCTCTTCCTCACTGGGCTCTCCTGTGTCAGCTGCTGCGTTTTTCCCCGCCCCGCCCGCCCCTCCTCAAACGCTGCGAAGCCCTTAGCAGGTCCTCAAGGCGGCCACCACGCCATCATCTTCCTCTCCTCCGCCAGCTCAGGCCTGTCCTGTGGGGAACCCGCTCGGCGCCGCGGGAAAGACCCGGAGCCGGCATTTCCTCGAAGCGAGTCCAGAGAGAAGCAAACCGGGCCCCGCGGGGGGCCGCCGGCCGGGCGGGAATCCCGGCCCTAACCACTGGGGGCCCTGGCGGGGGAGGGGAGGCAGGGCGGGAGCTGGCTCTGCGGCGGCATCTGTCCCCGGCTGGCGGGAAGCTGCTGCATTAAATTGTAAAATCGATTTATTGACCGGCAGGTGCGAGCGGCGGCAGATGGAGAGTAGCGCTGCCGGGGCGCAACTGCGGGGAGCGGCGGCATCGATCCCGGCCCCCTCCGAAACCCGTTGGCCTCGCTCTTTTCTCCTTGGCTTGCTCCCATTCGCGGGGCCAAGGTCCGCGGAGCCGCGGCGCCTAAGTGTCTAGGGTGGCTGGGCTCCGTACCCTGCCCGCCTCCCGCCCCGGGGCCCGGGCTGCACCCCGCGGCCGCCGGCCCTGCCAGCCCCACTGCCCCAGTTGGCACGCGGGGCCGGGCTGACGCGTGGCAGCGCCCGGCAGCAGATGAGGCACGCGCCGGCCTCATTTCAATGTGAATGGAGCGAATGGAGCAGCCATGTGGCAGCAACAGTTTGCAAATCTCCCCGCCTTCTGTGCTGCTCCCCCAGCCGCCGCTCCCTGCACTTGGCCCCTGCTCGGCGGCGACCGCAGAGGCACTCCTGGGGCTTAAGTGCCCCCCACACCCCCAATCCAGGCCTGCTCCCCGCCTCCGCACCCCCTGCCCTCCTACCTGTGCTATTTGCCCTGCGGAGAACGCAGTTCCAGGGCTGGGAAGTGGGATGGGCTGCCCAGTGGGGAGGGATCCTTGTCGCACCCCAGTAACCCGGGGTCAGTCTGAGGGCAGGGCTGGAAGATAACCTTGGAGCTTCACGCCAAGGGGTGCGGGTGCTGCCTGCTGGGGGCTTTGTGCAGCTGGCAGGCAGGGAGGGCTGCAGAAGCCTTCCCCCCCCCTCCCCCCAGGAGGCTGTGGAGTCTTGCATGAAGCTGGCCTGCACCGGGCTCTGGCTCAGGATTCCAAATACACTGGCGGGTGAGGTTAGGGTGAGGAACTGAAGGCCGGCCGCCGGCGGAGCTCGGTGGGGCCAGCGTCTGTCTACCTACTGGCAGGGTCAGAAGACATCCACCTGGGTCCAACCCCACTGAGACGTCCGGCCTCCCCTCACCTCACAGCCTCCTGTTCCTGGGACCCTCCAGGACTCACTCCTGCCCACACGTTGGCAGTGGGAGAAAAGGGGGGAGAGCCCCAGATGTGGAGGCTTCAAATTTCGGTTTCCTGCCCCCCCCCCCCCCCCCAGTCTGCCCCTCCTGCTCAGCAAAAGTGAGCAAAGCTTGCCCGGCCAGTGTTGCTCAGCAGTTGAGCTTCAGCCTACAAACCAGATCACAATTCGATTTTGGTTAGGGCATATACCTGGGCTGCCGGCTCAATCCTCTGTAGGGGGCGTGCAGAAGGCAGCTGATCAATGATTCTCATCCATGTTTCTATCCCCCCTCCCTTCCTCTCTGAAATTAATAAAAATATACTTAATAAAAAAGTGGACAAAGCTGGAGCTCAAGTGGGTACCAGAGCGGGCGGCAGAGTCCCGGTGGGATAGTTCATTTCAAACAGGTGCTTCGTAATCGGTGGTGATGTCTTCCCTCCTCAGGTGAGAGGGTCCCTGGGTTTCTGGGACCCCTTGTGTCTCCTGCCTCTGAGGAAAACGGTGATGCTTTTGTTTGGTCTTTGTGTGCCAAGAGCTTCTGGACATGTTAGTCCGGTGTGTATGAGGACAGTGTTTCAGATCTACCAGGCACTAAGCACACCCTGTGGGGCTGGAGTCTCCTTTGACAGTCAGGCAAATGCCAGCGCCAGAGAAGAGCAGAGCCTTCCTGAGTCCCCAGGCCAGGACTTGGGGTAAGGGGACAAGAAGCAGGTGGGGCTGGGTGTCCGCTCGCTCGGGGGAGCGGCGAAGGCCGCTCTTTTGCACCCTGGGTAGGTCTAGGGACCCACCGAGTGTGGCAGAGAGAAGATGGAAACCCCACTTGCCGGGTTGGCTGGGAAGCATGCCCTGGGCTCCCCCTCCCCGGGGCCCGGGGCCTCCGCCTGCCCATAACCTACATTAACTCTGGAGCGCAGCCTGGGCCCATCTGCCGGCCCCCGCCCCACCGCGGCTCCCCACGCCAAACCCCTCGCGCCAGATGGTGGCTGGGAGGGGTGGCCGTGCGTGGGGGACCCCGGAGCCCGGCTCTTCACCTCGCCCCTCCCCCAGCCCACGCTCTCAGCCTCTTGTTTCTCTCACCCTCCACCTCCCCGTCCTTCACCACCACCCCGCGTCAAAGGATCAGACCGTGCTCCGCACAGGCAGCTGTTGGGCTCCATTCCGAGCCCCCCTCAGCCTCTCCCGGGCCGCACCGCGTCCCTGCTCCCCCCGCCCCGATCTTATCGCCCGACGACAGCCATCGCCGTTCCGGAGGGCTGACAGCTGAAGCCACTGGGGTCCTCCCCCCATCCCGCCGCCCTCAGCGTAGGGGGGAAGGGAGAGAGAGAAAGAGAGAGGGGGAGGGAGGGAGAGAGAGAAAGAGAGAGAAGGCTCTCCTGCACCCCCCGCATCCCCCCCACCCCCCATTGGGAGAAGCCGGCCTTCCCCGAGCTCAGGCCCCCGGGGATCACGCAAGGTTCCGGGAAAGCAGCTGCACCGCCGCCGCCCGGAGAAGTGGGGCCGCCGGGGAGACTCCGGAAACTGAACCCTGGAGTCCGAGGGCTTCCAGCTCCCTCCACCTCTCCGCCGAGGAGGAGAGGGCCGGGTTGGCCCGGCCGCAGCCCTTCACCTGGACTTGAATCCGCTCCGGAGCCGGGAGAGTTCCTCTCTGCACCGGCGGAGCGTCGGGACGCGGGCGGGCCGGCGGGGGGGGCGGGGGGCGCCGGGCAGAGCGGGGCCAGGTGATGGGGGCGTGGCCGGGCTCATTAGCATACAGCTGACGCCCGCCGCGCCCACCTCTGGGCCACGCCCCCTCCCCCGCGGGGACCGCGCGCCTTCGGGCTGGCACGCGCCGCCGGCGGGGGAGGAGGGGGACAGAAGGGGACAGGCACGCGCTGCACACGCCCCCCGCCCCCCACCCCGCCCACCCCCCGCCACGAGGGAGGGAGACACCCACCAGGTGGAGGGAGGGAGGGAGGGCGCAGAGCCCTCGGACGCTTGGCCTCTCTCCAGGCGGCGAGCGGCCACCGGGAGGGTCCGAGCTCCCGCTGGCTTCCCTGCTGCGCCCGGGCGGCGCGGTGGGTGGGCGCTCGCGGGGGCGGGGAGGGAGGCCCGGTCAGGCACGGGCTCCAGAAGCTCCCTGAAGAAGCAGGAAACCGGAGTCCTGTAGCTCTGGTTTCGCTTTCCCGACATAAGTTCTCTTTACCTGCAGCAGGTGACTAGCGCGGGCTGCGGGCGCCGTGCACCCGAGGACTCTCCCCCGTGTCTCCGCCCCCACTCCCGTCCCGGAATCGCCCGCTCCGCTCCCGTCCCGTTCACCCCGGCCCTCCTCTCATCCACCCCGGCCCTCCTCCCATCCACCCCGGCCCTCCTCCCTTCCACCCGGCCCTCTTCCCACTCTCCCCCTGCCCGGGCTCCGCGCTGAGCTCCGCGGCGGCGGAGGCCGGTCTCCCGGCACGCGCGGAGCTGGGGGACCCAAGGGCTGCGAGCGGCGCGGATGGGCGGGGACCTGAGCCTGAGTGGCTGGCGGGGAGGGGGAACGGCGGGGGCGGAGGCCCCCTCCCGGCGGCGCTGAGGCTGTAGCGGCGAGAGGCCGGGAGGGGAGGGGAGAGTGACAGGCAGCGAGGAGAGGAGCCAATGTATATAAGGAAGGCTCCCGGGCGCGCAGGTTTCAGTAGCGGCGCTGAGCGCGGCTGGGATCCCGAGGCCGGGAGCGGCAGCAGCTCCCTCCGCCTCCGTGCAGCGCGCCCGGGCACCCGCCGGCCTGCAGCCCCGGGATCAGCCGGAGGACACCTCCTCAGCGCGGCCGCCGCCCCGCCGCCCTCACCTGGATTACCTCCCGCGGCGATCTGAGCGGACCTAGCGGGGAGCCGCGGCGGCTGGGAGCCTCGGAGCGGAGCCTGGCTTCTCAGAGACTCCTCCGCGGGGGGACGCACGGGGAGGCGGCGTCCCGGACCGAGCCAGCTTCAGGGCGGGCGGGCGGAGAGAGCGACGCCCCGGGGAATGGCAGCCGCCTCCAGTAGCGCGTCTGGCTGGGCGCTACTGTTGCTGGTGGCACTTTGTCCGCAGGTAACGTCCCGCGCCCCCTCCGCCCCCTCCCGCCGCGCTCCGCGTCCGCCGAGCTGACGCCCCCTCCCCGGTCCCTGTGCGCAGCGCGCGGCCGGCTCCGGCGTCTTCCAGCTGCAGCTGCAGGAGTTCTCCAACCAGCGCGGCGTGCTGGCCAGCGGGCTGCCCTGCGAGCCCGGCTGCCGCACCTTCTTCCGCGTCTGCCTCAAGCACTTCCAAGCCGTCGTCTCGCCGGGGCCTTGCACCTTCGGCAGCGTCTCCACACCTGTGCTGGGCACCAACTCCTTCGTGGTCGGGGACGACAGCAGCGGCGGCGGACGCAACCCTCTCCAGTTGCCTTTCAACTTCACCTGGCCGGTGAGCACAGCCTGGGCGCGCTGGGAGGTCCCGAAAACCCAGAGAAGCGAGGGGGTGGGGAGATCCCTGGTACCAAAGCCTTCTCCCCAGATGTCCTTGCTCTCCCACAAAACAAAACCAGGGGCGTTCTCTTCTGATCCTTTCTTTCGACTCCCCCCACCCCACCCCACCCCATCCTTGGAAAGGCTCTCCCCAGTCTCCCTTCCCCACTTCTACGCCCTCTCTCCGCCCAGTTCTTGGGATGTGGTTGCTATCACCCCCGTGCGCCCCCCGCCTCCGAAAGGCCCTCGTGTGCATTCCCCCATCCTGCAGCCCTCCTCCCGCCCGGGGCGCTCCTCTCGCCTTTCGTGCTCGCGCGCGAGGCGGTGCGCAGACCCGTTGGGTTGACCCGGGCGCAGTAACTGTATCCTGCAATTAAATTAATTAAACCGGCAGCAGCCACCAGGCACCCCACCACCCCCGTGCTCATCTCGCTATCTCTCTGTCTGCCTCTCCCCCTCCCCCTCCTCCCGGCTTCCCAGGGCACCTTCTCGCTCATCATCGAGGCTTGGCACGCGCCGGGAGAGGACCTGGGGCCAGGTGAGTAGCTCGCTCCGCCGCCACTGGGGGGCGACACGGCGCAGCGCCGAAAGGGTTAACGTGCCCGGCCAGGCAGGGGAAGTGCGGGGCGAGGGGGCGGGGGGCCGGACGCTGAGCTCGGCCGGGAGCTGCGCCCCGCGCTGGCCGCTCGGATTCCGCCCGCTGCCTGGACTCCGAGCACAATTGCGTTTCCTGCGGGTTATTTTTGGCGTGGGAACGCGGGGAGCACGGCGGTGAGAAAGGCCGAGGCTGCCAGCGCCGCTGACGGGCCCCTTCCTGTATTTTACACCTTTCGCGAATTCCGCTCCTTTGGAAAGGGAATAATGGCTTTGGGATGTTGTTCTGACACAGAGGAAAGGGATATTTCAGCAGCACAACAATTCTCACTTTGAAAAGGAAAAAGAAAAGCATTACCCACCTCTGAGGGCAGGACCCCCGCATGGGCACCCGGGGACCCCTGCTCCCCGGGTCCTCTCTTACACAGAGCTTTTCTTTCTGATTTTTTTTTTTAATTTTCCATTTTGACCTCTTTTCCTCTTTCCCTTGCCTATCTGCTTCCAGAACGCTAGGATATCTTAACATCCTTCTATTGTCCCCCTTTTGTTTTGTTTTTTTAATATTTTTAATTGATTTCAGAAGAGGAAGCGAGAGGGAGAGAGAGATAGAAACATCAATGAGGAGAGAGAATCATTGATGGGCTGCCTCCTGCACGCCCCTTACTGGGGATCAAGCCCTCAACTCGTGCAGGTGCCCTTGGCTGGAATTGAACCCGGGACCCTTCAGTCTGCAGGTTGTTCTCTGCCCACCCAGCCAGACTGGCTAGGGCTCTTGTCCCCCTTTTGAGTAGTGTCAGGCCCCCTGCCCATGCACACACACAGGGCAGCTAAGGAGAGGGCCTTTGGGTTCCTTTGGACTGTGCTTGCTGGCAGGTGGGGGTCATCTGGACAACTGGTTTGAACCAGCAGCTGCTGGCACCCGTGGGGACAGGCTGCCCTTCCTTGACCTGGCCCTCTGCCCCTTCAGAGGCCATGCCACCAAACGCGCTCATCAGCAAGATCACCATCCAGGGCTCCCTCGCGGTGGGCCAGAACTGGTTACTGGATGAGCAGACCGACCCTCTCCCGACAAGGCTGCGCTACTCGTACCGCGTCATCTGCAGCGACAACTACTACGGGGACAGCTGCTCACGCCTGTGCAAGAAGCGCAATGACCACTTCGGCCACTACGTGTGCCAGCCAGATGGCAGCCTGGCCTGTCTGCCGGGCTGGACTGGGGAGTACTGCGAACAGCGTAAGCAGCCAAGTTCTCTGCCGCTTGCCTGGGGGGGAGGGGGGGTTGAGCAAAAAAACAGACCAAACGGTGTCTTCTCCTCACTCGCTGGGCCTCGGGAACAGCTGGGGGTGCTTAGGACAGGTCTGAGCGCTCCTCCTGGTGGTGCCAAAGCCTGTGAGGATCTCATTAGTGCATCGCATCCAGCCTGGCCTCTCCTTCCCTGTGTCACTGGTTCCTTTTCAGACACCGATGGGTCCTCTGAGAGGCCAGGAGTGGGGCGTGAGTCCAGGAGAGCTGGGGGCATCCCCCAAGGCCAGGATAGGGGGAGAGGGCGTCAGGGGCCTTGGCATCCCACCCTCACCCAGCGCTGTTCTCTTTCCTCAGCCGTCTGCCTTTCTGGCTGCCATGAACAGAACGGCTACTGCAGCAAGCCGGGGGAGTGCACGTGAGTAGGGGACAGGAAGTGGGCCAGGGACATCCCTGGGCCAGGCCGCCAGCTCACCTCAGCTTTCCTTTTGTTTCACAGCTGCCGCCCGGGCTGGCAGGGCCGGCTGTGCACCGAATGCATCCCCCACCACGGCTGCAGCCACGGCACTTGCACCACCCCCTGGCAATGCACCTGTGAGGAGGGCTGGGGCGGCCTGTTCTGTGACCAGGGTGAGTGGGGGCAAAGAGAGGGTGCAGAGGGGGTGGGAGAGATGGGCAAGGGGGGGGAACAGAGGTATCACCTGGGCCCTTCTTACGGGTGACCGCCGAGCTGGCTTTCCCTTATCCTTCCGGGAGCTTGGGGCTCTCACAGATCTTCACAACCAGCCTAGAATAAGATGGGGGTGCTTCTCATCCGCTGCTGAGGCGGCAGGGTGGCTGGAGAAGCCAAGAGGGTGACAACTGATGGCGTGGAGGTTGCACTCACACATCCTAGTAAGGCCATGCCCTGGCGGGTGTGGCTCAGGTGGGTGAGCGTGGTCCCAAGCGCAAGAGGTCAAAGTCAGGGCACATGATCAGGTTGTGGACTCGATCCCCAGTACGGGGGCGTTCAGGAGGCAGACCATCCAGGTTCCTCTTTCATGGAGGTTTCTGTTTCCCTCCCTCTCCTTTCTCCTCTCTCTCAAATCAACAAAAACATTTAAAAAAAAAAATTCTAGTAAGGCCAGATAGAGAGAGGGATGCTGGGCTTAGTTCCTCCTTCGACCTCAGTTACCTATTAACCCCCTAAGTGTTTGCTTACCTGCCGGGGCTGTTTGAGCAGTTCTCCCCTACACAGCTGTCTGGTGAGGTGTGCCCACCAGCTGCCTGAGGCCGTGTGAGCGGGCCCCTGGGCGGAGTGGCATCTAACTGACTCTGCAGTGTGGGCAGGAACAGTCGCCCTTGTTCATCCTCGGTTGCACTTGCCAGGCAGCTGCCCGAGCCCACACTGCCTCTTCCTGGTGTTTGGCGGGTCCGGCCGCTCCTCAGGCCGCGCTGGGGTCTGCCAGCTCCAACTATGGAGGAGGGATCCTTTATCTCTTTCATCCTGGGAGCCAGCTGCAGCATGTGCCTCCCGTTTTCAGGGGCAAATGGGGTGGCTGCTGCCATGGAAACACCAGCACAAGTCTGGGTAGGGTGGGCAGCGGGCTTGCCAGGAAAGAATTTGCCCAGGCCCTGCCTCGCTGGCAGCAGGGCTCAGAATTCAGCCCCTGTATTCTTTGTGGGCGTATTGCTTTCTACCCCTCCCCGCAAACACACACACACACACACACACACACACACACACACACAAGCGTGTTCTCTCTCCTCTGCCCACATTTGCTCACAGGTGACACAGTCATATACTCATCACATGCAAATACAGCCCTCACAGTCCCAATATTTGTTCTGTCTGGTTCTCCCTCCCTGTCCTTCCCAAATAGGAAAACAAACACTTACATTTCAAAATACCCTCCTAATGAATTCCCCTTTAAAAAAAAATGTCGTCACTCCTTACGGTGGCTCTCTACCATCTCCACCTGTTCGAGTGGCTTCTCTCAGCCTCCCCTCCTCCACGAAGCCTTTTCTGCCTTCCTCCTAAACACGTGGCCGTGCCGTCCACTCCTCTTCCTCGCCTACCTTCTCCCCTGCCTGCCGGTGTCTGTGAGCTCACCTGGCAGGCGGCTGTCACCTGTGTTTTTCAACGTTGACTGGTTGCACTGGCCACGTATGCGTCCAGGTGCTTCAATACAGGACTCATTTGGGGAGGAGGAAGGGTGTTGGGGCCCCGAACACTGAGTCGGGGCCTCGGGGCCAAACCCAGGCAGTGAACGCACACTGCGAGCAGCCCGCAGGTGGGGATGATTCCCGGCTCTGCTCAGCTGGCCGGCTCCTGTCTCTGCAGATCTCAACTACTGCACCCACCACTCCCCCTGCAAGAACGGGGCCACCTGCTCCAACAGCGGGCAGCGGAGCTACACCTGCACCTGCCGCCCCGGCTACACCGGCGTGGACTGTGAGCTGAAGCTCAGCGAGTGTGACGGCAACCCCTGTCGCAACGGAGGCAGCTGCAAGGTGAGGCCCAGGCTGGCGCAGGGGGTCTGGCCGGGTGGTTCCTGGGCCTTCTCGCTCCAGGCGGCCACAGGCAGGCCCTGGGGGCATGCGGGAGCTAACCCCCCGGCCGCACACCCCTGCCCCAGCGCCTGACCTCCGCCCTTCTTCCTGGCGTCTCTCCAGGACCAGGAGGACGGCTACCGCTGCGTGTGCCCCCCGGGCTACTTCGGCGCGCACTGTGAGACCAGCAGCTTGAGCTGCGCCAACTCCCCGTGCTTCAACGGGGGCTCCTGCCGGGAGCGCAGCCAGGGCACCAGCTACGCCTGCGAGTGCCCTCCCGACTTCACGGGCTCCAACTGCGAGAAGAAAGTGGACAGGTGTACCAGCAACCCGTGTGCCAACGGTGCGTCCTGCTGTCTTGCTAACCCGCCCTGGGGACCGGAGAGCCTTCTGGCGAGGGAGAGGCAGGAGAGGAGAGAGGCCTTGTCTGTCACCCAGGCGGGCTGACCTGGGCCCCCTTCTGCTCTGGGCGGTGACGAGCTTGCTGGGTCAGCTGGGAAGCTTTGGAAGAGGAGCAGGTTAGCAGTGGGTGCGGACCTTAGGAGCAGGAGCGGTGTATATCCTGAGTGGCTTCTATTCCTCTTCCCATCGGAGTCCTGTCCCTGCCACTCCAGTGGGGTGGCCTCTCTCCCCCCTCAGGAAGCCCTGGGCTAGAGAAAGGGACGTTGGAGGCCGCCTGTCCTCCCCCAGGGGGGCTGGTGAGGCTGGGCCCTGCTGCTGAAGACCTCGCCTTGCCGCATGGCCGCGCGAGCCTGGGGTGGCACAAGGCTCCTGGAACGGTCAGCATCTTTGGGGATGCACAGCATGCTGGGTATCTGTCTCCTTGGCCTCCCGGTGACTTTGCTGAGGCCGGTGGCCGCACTGTGCCCGGGGAAGCCCCGGGAGCCGGAAAGGAGCTGGGAGGGCTGCGATGGCGTCTGCTGTCCAGCTAGTCACTCAGCGAATCCCTGGAGCCGCGGTTTCTCCGTCACTGGATGGGAAATACAATGCCTGGCCTCTGCCTTCCGGGGCTGTGAGGATTAGATGAAACAGTGACACTTACATTTGTTTGAACATTCACTATGCACCAGGCATGTGCTCCTGCCCTCAGGCATCATCCCCCCTCACCCTCAGGGATCTCCCCTGGAGGGGACAGCATGGGACTCCAATTTAACACACAAGGAGAGCGAGGCTTAGGGAAAGGTAAAGCAGCAGGTGCCAGACCCACAGCTAGAGGCAGCTAAGGTTCAGGCCCCCGCTCATCCGGCCGACTCTTCCGTAAAGCTCCGGGAGATGCTGGTGGTGTCTATACCTGAGCCCACGAAGGCGCAGCAGCCAGGGTCCCCTCGGCTCCGGCCTCAGACCCTCCGCGCAGGGTCCCCGGGCGCCGGAGCTGCGACTGGGGCAGAAGGACGCGAGCTCGCTCGCTCGCTCGCTCCACCAGCGGGCTCGCAAGCCGCGGCCGCTCGCTGACCTGTGCCCGTGTGTGCCCACAGGGGGCCAGTGCCTGAACCGAGACCCCGCCCGCCTGTGCCGCTGCCGCCCCGGGTTCACGGGCACCCACTGCGAGCTCCGCATCAGCGACTGCGCCCGCAGCCCCTGTGCCCACGGCGGCACCTGCCAGGACCTGAAGAATGGGCTGGTGTGTGCGTGCCCCGCCGGCTTCTCCGGCCGGCTGTGCGAGGTGCGCCCGCCCGGCGCCCACGCCTGCGCCTCGGGACCCTGCCTCAACGGGGCCACCTGCTACCCCGGCCGCACCCCCGACAGCTTCGTCTGCAACTGTGCCTACGGCTTCGCGGGCGGCCGCTGCGAGTTCCCTGTGAGCGTGCCACCCAGCTTCCCCTGGGTGGCCGTCTCCCTGGGCGCGGGGCTGGTGCTGGTGCTGGTGCTGCTGGGCATGGTGGCGGTGGCCGCGCGGCAGCTGCGCCGGCGGCCGGACGGCGGAGGCAGGGAGGCCATGAACAACGTGTCGGACTTCCAGAAGGACAACCTGATCCCCGCCGCCCAGCTCAAGAACACCAACCAGAAGAAGGAGCTGGAAGTGGACTGTGGCCTGGACAAGTCCAACTGTGGCAAACAGCAGAACCACACGTTGGACTGCAATCTGGCCCCAGGACCCCTGGGGCGGGGGACGCTGCTGGGGAAGTATTCCCACAGCGACAAGAGCTTAGGGGAGAAGGCGCCCCTGCGGTTACACAGGTGAGAGCGCCTGCAGGCGGGGCCTGGCCACGGAGCCGAGGGGTCCCGCTGGGCCCCCTCAGGCACCAGGCCCCTGACGGCTCTTTAGCAAATGGGGCTTTGCTACCGATTTTCCAACAGAAGTTCCGCCAGGGGTCTTTGTCCCACTCATGCATGCATTCATGCATTCATTCATTCATTCACAAGGTCAGGTGCCCACACTGTGTCTCTTGGGACTTCCGGCTTTCTCTCATGGCTTGCCTCTAGCGGCAGTGCTGGCCTTCGCCAGGCCTGGACCCTCGGATAAGACCTGTGCCCCGTGGCTCCTTAGGGGCCTGTTCCTGCCTGCCCCCCGGCTAATGTTGGGCGTCCCCAGTCCCTGTGTCTTCTCCTGCCAGTGCCCTTTGGCTCTCCAGGGTCTGGGTTAGTGCCCCCCCCCCCGCCCTCTCCCCACACCTCCCTCAGCGACCTGTCTTGTGTTCCCTCAGTGAAAAGCCGGAGTGTCGGATATCAGCGATATGCTCCCCCAGGGACTCCATGTATCAGTCCGTGTGTTTGATATCAGAGGAGAGGAACGAATGTGTCATTGCCACCGAGGTGAGTGCGGGGCTCGCATGCCCCTCCCGCCTGGCCCTGCCTGCCTTCGGGGCTGGGACAGTGGCCTGGGCACCCTTGACCTCGGGGCCCCTCTGGGTGGGTCAGGACCCTTTGGGAGGCCAGGCTCCGTGGCTCTTGCGTCCCTGCTCGTCTCCTCGCAACAGCGGGTGTGAAACAGGAGCCGGGCCGGTGAGCCCTGCCTGGTCTCTTCCCACTGTGAGCGCGGGGCTGGCGGCCATGGCACCCGGCCAGCTCCCGGGCGCTGCTTCCCAGCTGCCGGCGGGCGAGGTGGCTGCCTGTGCCTCCTGCCCCTTCTCCCTGGCCTCCTCCAGTGGCCCACTCACGAGCACAGGCTCCCGGGCATGTGCCTGTGCTGGGACAGGAGATCAGGGGCTGCCCTACCTCCCCTTCACCCCATCCGCCCTGTTGGCTTCTCCCAGGGAGGCCCAGGGTGGCCACGGAGGGAGGGCTTTGTGCGCCAGGTAACCCACTCTCCCACCCTCCCCGTGCTCCCCAGGTATAAGGAGAAGCCTCCCAGGACATCCCAGCTTCGCCCAGCGGCTGGACCTTCCTTCTGCATTGTTTACATTGCATCCTGGATGGGACATTTTTAATATGCAACGTGCTGCTCTCAGGAGGAAGACGGAATGGCATGAACTGGACAGACTGTGCACTTGCCAAGAGATGCAGTACCTTCCGCACCGTTGGGTGTCTGTCTGGCATCAGATTGGCAGCCGCACAGCCAGGGGAACGGAGAGGAGGAGGGGTGCCAGCCGCGGCCCTCAGAGGGCTCCTTTGGAGTCCGGCCTGTGTTCCAGGGCGAGTGGCAGTGGTCCTGCAGGGCCTGGAGCCGCCGCTGCCTCCGCTGGCATCTGTGTTTCCAAAAGTGCCTTTGGCTCGGGCTCCGTGGTGACAGCTGGGTCCGGATCAGAGAGGAGAGAGGAGGCCGGTCAGGGCAGGGCCGTCCGTGGGCCAGGAAACCACCGGGTGTGGCTGTTGGCAGGGGTTGCCCTGCAGGTGAGGTGAGCACCCAAAGTGGGAGGAGCACTTTCTGCCCACGTGCCTCCAACTGCTGCGTCTGGGCCTTCTTCAGAACACCACCCAGCCCCTCCCTGGGCCAGGCCCACTGGGCACGAACGCGGGTAAGCCTGCCTGGCTTCTGCAGCCTCTGGCTTTGGGTGCCTCTGGGCTCCTGGGAGCAGACAGGTGGAGGGCCAGCCAGGGGTGCCAGGCCCAACGAGGGAGCTCAGGGCGGTGATGCTGGAAATGCCAGGAGGGAGAAATCGGGCTGTCATCACCCAGGCCCTTTCCTCCCTCAGGCCCATTCCTATGGCCTGGAGCCTGAGCTCTCCCCATGCCCACTACTGCCCCTAGTGGATCTTCAGAAATCAATAATATGAGTTTTTATTTTGTTTGTTTTTTTTGTAGTTTATTTTGGAGTCTAGTATTTCGATAATTTAAGAACCAGAAGCACTGACATTTCTACATTTTATAACATTATTTTGTATATAATGTGTATTTATAATATGGAACAGATGTGTATAGGAGTTTATTACTTCTCGGGTCCTGTCTTTGTGATGGCAGAGTGGGAATCCTGTCCCCAGCCTCTGACTCCCCTCCCCGTACTGCGGCCAGTGGTATACACTCAGAGTGTCCGCGGGGCCCTCTGCACACACTGGGGCCTGGCCCGCCGTGCTCCAGGCCTGCTCCCCTCCCAGGCCTCGCCCATCCAGTCCCCAGCCTCGGCCGCCTTCCCTGCCTGGCGGCTGGAGGCTCCCTGTGGCCCTCCGTCCTCCTTGTGCTCCCAGCCCTCCTCGGGTGATGTGCCCTCTGACCTAAATCTGTCCCCCTCTCCTCTCAAGTCGGAAAGAGCTCATGGGCTCCAAAGTCGGCCTGGGGGGTACAGGCGTTTGGGGGAAGAGGACAGTCCTGCCTGTTTCCGTCTTTCTGAAAGGATTCCGTGGTTGGGGAATGGAGGCTGCCGAGGCGGGCTTTCAGGGGGACTGGCACCCGCTCTTCCTCTCCGCCCCAGCGGGCGCCGGTCCGGGGGGAGGGGAGCTTTGCCTTGGCCTGTCCTCCTTGCAGCTGGACAAGAGCTGAGTCTGGGCACCTGGGCAGCAGGGAGGGGAGGAGGAGGGGAGGGCGGCCTTCCTGAGTCCAGGTTTCTCTGGCCAAGACACTAATGAGGGAACTGCCAGGCTCAACTTTAATATATTTTATTTATTTTTTTACAGAGAGGAAGGGAGAGGGATAGAGAGCTAGAAATGTCAATGAGAGAGAAACATCGACCAGCTGCCTCTTGCACACCCCCTACTGGGGATGTGCCCGCAACCAATGTACAAGCCCTTGCCCGGAATCGAACCCGGGACCTTTCAGTCCGCAGGCCGACGCTCTACCCACGGAGCCAAACCCGCTTCGGCCAGTCTCAACTTTATGCCTCGTTTCCTCTCAGGTGCAGAACGGTCCTAGGCTGCCACAGGCCTCTTTTTACAGCCCAGACATAGCCCACGGAGAGCAAATGATGGGGGGGCGGGGGAGAGCCACTGACAGAAAGCTGAGCAGATGCTCCCAGCGCCCAGCCTGTCCGCAGGAAGGCAAAACAGACCCTCCAGAAGCTCCCAGTGGAGTCGCCGTGTATGCAGTGCTATTCGCCTCCCTTTCCCTCTTTCCCCTGCCACACACACAGCTCGCCCGCCCCTAATCTGGGCGCCTACGCCAGAGCCCAGGGAGCCAGAGCCCGGCTCATCCCACTGCCCACACGCACAGGCTCCACGCCTCCCTCGCTGGTCCCTGTTCCCTCGCTGCACACACAGGGTATCAAACAGGAAAGCATTCAGGGAACCGTTCCCACAGCCTGAGCCGGCAGCGGGGGGAAGAACAACACGACCTCACTCTTCCTGCCCAAAATGAAACAGGAAAGCGGCTCCCGGACCCTGGGGGCGGGGGAAACTGGGCTGGACACGCAGGCCAGATGACGAGGCTCCCATGTGGGGGACAGGTAGGACACCCGCAGGCCTGCACGTCCACACCGCGAGGCCGTGCTGGGCGGCACGAGCTGCCAGCGCCCCCGAGCCCTGGACAGGCGCTGGCCGGCTGACCCTCTCCGGCTCTGCTACCCTAGACCCGTCGTCGGCAAACTCATTAGTCAACAGCACAACGACCGAGATTTCTTTTGAGGGTCACATTTTTTACACTTAAACTTCTTCGAACGCCGCTTCTTCAACACAGACTCGCCCAGGCCGTGGTATTCTGTGGAAGAGCCACACTCAAGGGGCCAAAGAGCCGCAGTTTTGTCGGCCACGTCCCTGGACAGAGCTGGGAGAGCCCACCACACCAGCTTTCTGGGGAAAGCGGTCTGGGCGGCTCCAGCTTGCAGCTCATGCCGGCCTCTGCCGCTGTGGACATGGCGGGAGCTGGGCCAGGCCCTCGGGCTGTGAACAGACCTCAGTGGAAGCCCCTCTCTCCCCAGGATTCCCAGGTCCCTTCCTGGGGGTGCAGCCCCTTCTCATAGGTAAGGCCCCAGAGACCCTCCTGATGGAGTGTCCAGGGGCACAGGAGGGCCCCCGGGCTTGGCGGGAGCTGGGCCAGGAGACGGCTGTAGGCTCACGGCGGAGTGCACGCTGGGTTTAGCCGTTGCCCATGTGCAGTCAGCACGGGTGTTTCACAAGAGAATCCAGAGCGTGGCAGTTCCTTAACCGCCTGGAGGCAGGCAGCCCTGCCCACGGGATAAGTCTGACCCCACAGTGACCTCCAGCTCTGAGGACAGCTGCTTTTCCAGGGCCAGTGGCTGGGAAACACCTGGATATCACTGCAGGGAGGTGAGTCAGGGAGACGCTGTGCAGAAGAAAAGAATGAATGTCTTTATCCTGCTTGCTCAGCCACGGTGCCCTCTGCTGCCACAGGGCACGGTCAGACCGGTCAGGGGTACAAGAAAGGAGTGGCTCCGACCTCCCCCCATTCCAGCTAAAGGAAGCCACTGGAGTAAACTAGGGCAGTATGGGTGCTCCACCCCTAACGGGGACCCCCGGGCTCCCCCCTCCCTGCAGCACCCCCGTCTCTGCGTGGGTCCCCAGGACCCGCGGCCCAACCCTCCTCACCCCCCACGGGGCGCCGCATTCCGGGAAAGGGGGGAAGTGATTCACTCCGGGCGCGATGACTGTCCCTTCCCGCGGGGAGGATGCGCCTGGGAGGTCCCGCCGGCCTCCCCTGGGCGGCCGCGCCCTCCCTCGCGTCCAGCTCCCGGTTCGACCCCGCGGCCCGGCGGATCCCTCCGGCCCGGAGGCGATCGGCGGCGGAAGAAGGCGGTGCGCGCGCGGGCCCTCCACCTGCCGCGGCCGCCCGCGCCCCGGAGGTCCGGCCCCCGCCCCCGCCCCCCGCGCTCTTTGTGCAGCTCCGCTTCCTGTTTGCGGCCGCGGACCGGGGCTCATTTCCCGGGCCGGGAAGCCGCCGAAGGCCGCCAGTTTCTCGCAGACTCCCCCGCCCTCTGGCTCCGCCTCCCGCACCCCCAATCCCGCTTCCCGCCGGCCCGGGAGCCGCTCACCCGCCGCCCGCGCTAGAGGGCGCTGCGGGCCGCCGGCCCCCCGGGCGGGGCCAGCCTGCTCGGCCCTGGGCCCGTGGAGCCAGCCAGGAGAGGGGCAGCTGGACACACATTCAGTTTTCTTTTCTTCTTCTTCTTCTTCTTCTTCTTCTTCTTCTTCTTCTTCTATCTTCTTCTTCTTCTTCTTCTTTCTTCTTCTTCTTTCTTCTTCTTCTTCTTCTTCTGTCTTCTTCTCTTCCTTCCTCTTCTTCTCTTCTTCTTCTTCTTCTTCGTCTTTCTTCTTCGTCTCTCTCTGTCTTGTTCTTCTTCGTCTTCTTCTTCTTTCTTCTTCTTCTTCTTCTTCTTCTTCTTCTTCTTCTTCTCTTCTTTCTTCTTACTTCTTCGTCTTTCGTTCTTTCTTCTCTCTTCTGATTCTTCTTCTTCTTGCTTCTTCGCTTCGTTCTTTCTTTCTTCTTTTCTCGTCTTCTTTCTTTCTTCTTTCGGTCTTCGTCTTTCTTCTTCTTTCTTCTTTTCTTCTTCTTCTCTTTCTTCTTTCCTTCTTCTTTTCTCTCTTCTTCTTCTTCTTCTTCTTTCTTCTTCTTCTTCTTTCTTTCTTCTTCTTTCTTTCTTCCGTCTCTCTCAGGATTCATCTAACTAGCCTCTCCTCCTCCCTCCCCTCCTGCCTAAGAGCTCTCACGCCTCTCCTCCGCCTCTAATTCCTCTTCTTCTCTTCCCTTCCCCTTCCCCTTCCCCTTCTCCTTCCCCTTCCCCTTCCCCTTCCCTCCTCCTCCTCCTCCTCCTCCTCCTCCTCCTCCTCCTCCTCCTTTTTTGTAAAAAATATTCTTAAGATTTCAAAGAGAAAGGGAGAGAGAAACATCAATGATAAGAGAGAATCATTGATCAGCCTCTCCTGCATGCCGCCTCCTGGGGATGGAGCCCGCAAGCCGGGCATGTGCCTTTGACCGAAACTGAATCGGGGACCCTTCAGTCCGCAGGCTGACGCTCTATCCACTGAGCCAGACCGGCTGGGCATGAATTCAGTTTTCCCCTGATGGTGCAGAGTTCCCTCCAGGCCCCGCACCCCAGCAGAGGGAATATACTGGAGAGAGCACAGTGGGAGGCTTTCCCCTAAATATGACTCAGTGTCCAGAGGCAAGGCTCTTTCGCATACTCTGACCTGGCACAGCGGCCAGCTCCCTCCCGCCTCCTGGGCCTGGCCGCAGTCTGCAGTCCACCTGCCTTCTCTCCTCCACCATCCTGAGTGGGAGGAGATGGGGATGGTGGACAGGGCACCGGGTTTGAGTCCAGAGGCTGAAGCTCCGTCATACCACCCATCATTGCCAGGTGACTTGGGACAAGTCCCTCCTTCATTCCGTCCACACTGAACCCCTTTATATGCCAGGCATTAGTGGTTAAATATGGTCACTGCCCAGGGACGCCAGCCATCTCTAGTTAATTATCTGTAACCTCTCAGAGGATGGTAACACATCTGGCACATTATGAGGCTGAAATGATTAGGGCAGTGGTCGGCAAACTGCAGCTCGCAAGCCATAGGTGGCTCTTTGGCCCCTTGAGTTTTAGCAAAGGCCAGCTTAGGAGTACCCTAATTAAGTTAATAACAATGTACCTACCTATAAAGTTTAAGTTTAAAAACTTTGGCTCTCAAAAGAAATTTCAATCGTTGTACTGTGGATATTTGGCTCTGTTGACTTATGAGTTTGCCGACCACTGACTAACTGTTAGGGTATGAAAATATTTGTGGCCCTGACCGGTTTGGCTCAGTGGGTAGAGCGTCGGCCTGCGGACTAAAAGGTCCCAGGTTCGATTCCGGTCAAAGGTATGTACCTTGGTTGCAGGCACATCCCCATGAAGGGGTGTGCAGGAGGCAGCTGAATCCGTGTCTCTCGCATCAATGTTTCTAACTCTCTATCCCTCTCCCTTCCTCTCTGTAAAAAACCAATGAAATATATTTTTTAAAAAGAAAATATTTGTGAGCAGCGAGTTCCCCCACTGAGTGGTTAAGTCTTCTCTAGCTATGCTAGCAAACCACAGGGTGGGGGTGGGCCAGGGAGGAGCTTGGAGCCTGGATGGATGGTCTCAGCAGGAGCCCTAGGACCACGGAGGCTGCTGGGATCCCAGGTTGCCTCCACCATTGCTTCCCTTTGTGCGCCTGTCTTTATGGAACACCACTACCGTGAGCATATTGGGAGGGTTTTCCTGGCTGTGGGAGGGACCGCAGGGCCCCAAGTCCTCGACAGCCTCCTTCCCTGGGATATCTGCCCCCTACCTGTGGCCCTGTTACCTGTCACGCCTTAGCTAAGATCCGGCTCTGCCTGCTTCCTTCATCCATACAGACCCTCTGAGGCCACAGCACAGGGTCCAAAAAGCCAACTGAGCCTACGGCCAGACACAAGGAAACTGGCACCTCAGGAATCTGGATTTAGCAACAGGTAGGCTCTGGGCCCAAGCCAGTCTGTGCTATGGCAGACGCAAAGCCCTGCCAGGCAGGGCCAGCCTGTCTGTCTCCTGTGAATTTTATCCTGGCTCAGGTTGGAGGAAAGGCAAGGCCTGGGGGTTGGCAAAGAGGCATATGCCACTTGGATTGCTGTCCCTTTTCCTCCGTGGCAGGCCTCTGGGCCAGGCCAGTATGCTAGGCCTGTATGTTCAGTGTCACCTCCATCAGTGACTGCCTGCGCTCAGCGTCCTCCTCAATCTCTCTGGATAAAAAGATCCAGTGCATGCTAGGATCGCCTTGCCACTCCCCATCAGCCCTTGGGGGGGGGGGGGTGCCCCAGCTGCTGTCATTTAGGGGGCTTCACTTTCTTGGCTGTCTGTGGGCCACCGAGTTTGCTTCCACAGTCATAATTCTCCAAATGGGCTGCTTTCCTGGAATTCTTTTCTTTCTTTCTTTAAAAAAAAAATACATTTTATTGATTTTTTTACAGAGAGGAAAGGAGAGGGATAGAGAGCTAGAAACATCGATGAGAGAGAAACATCGATCAGCTGCCTCCTGCACACCTCCCACTGGGAATGTGCCTGCAACCAAGGTACATGCCCTTGACCGGAATCGAACCCGGGACCCCTCAGTCCACAGGCTGATGCTCTATCCACTGAGCCAAACCAGTTTCGGCCTGGAATTCTTTTCTAAAGCCAGGTCCTGTCATGCAGCAGCATTTCCGTGGAGTTTGATGTCTGATTCTGACCCTATGGCTGTCCTCTCCACACCAGCCTTGTCCTGCCGCTGCAATGCTCCCTCCTTAGCCCAGCAGCTGGCCATTTCCTGCCCCCACACACCGCGCCTTCCTCTTTCCTCGGAATGGAAGCCAGGCCTCACGCATCATCCCAACCTTCTGCTGGAGCCCTGGCCCCTCCCCTCCCAGACAGAGTAGGCAGGAGGGCGGAGTAACTGGAGCCCTGGCCACAATAGGTACCTGGTCAGCATTACCTTCCTCCCTCCCTGAAAGGGACAAGTGGGCAGAGAGCCAGGTTTGCCCACCATCCTATGAACCCTTCTGCCAGGACAGGAGTGAATCTTACTGCCCCTGCTTTTGTGGGTGGGGAAACCAAGTAGCCTTTGCCCCTGGGTCCTGGGTTCAGCTGGCATAACCAGCAGAGCATGTCTTCTCCTCTCCCTCTCATGCGGTGGACTGTGTTCTCTCTCTTCCCATCTGTTTGCCAGAGTATTGGGGGGACCTGTGTCCTTCTTGCACATGGGCTAAGGCCTAAGGACTGGTGTATTTCTCAGAGGTCTGTGGGGAGTGTAGCCCTGCATAGATTGTGGGTTATTTATTCTCTTAATTAATTTATTGACTGATGGATGAATATTTTTGAGAGAGAGAGAAACATCTATTTGTTGTCCTACTTATTTATGTATTCATTGGTTGTTTCTTGAATATGCCCTGACCAGGGATTGAACCTACAACTTTGGCATATTTGGACAATGCTCTAACCAACTGAGCTATCCAGCCAGGACCAATTTATTTATTTTATTGATAGAATCCATCCCCTCAAGTATACACAGAAAACCTTTCTTTGCTCAAGCAACTATTCTATTTATTGCATCCTTGGGGGAGACTATCACCCATTCTGCCTCTTAAAAAACTCCTTTAGCCTAACTGGTGTGGCTCAGTGGTTGAGCATCAACCTATGAACTAGGAGGTCACGGTTTGATTCCTGGTCAAGGCCCATGAATCAGGCTCAACCCCCAGTGTGGAGTGTAAAGGAGGCAGCCAATCAATTATTCTCTCTCATCACTGATATTTCTATCTCTCTCTCTCCCTCTCCCTTCCTCTCTGAAATCAATAAAATATATACATATATATTAAAATACACACACTTCTTTAGTACCCTATTTGCTGGAACAATCTACGAATTGTATGGCAAGATTGAAGGATGAGATACTGGAAGTTTCCTCCACTGAATCAAACTTACCCTGATCACTTTCCTGAGCCACCCAATTCTTGCTGAGGAGTAGGGTAAAGGAAAACACCCTCTTCCTATACATTTCTTCTATTCTCAGTGCTCTACTATAGCAGGTCCTCAAGGTGTCATTTTGTTTGATGCTGTTTTAACTGATGAGAATAAAAATATAAATTCTTGGCTGGGCCACCATCTGTGTGGTTTCCATGTTCTCCCTATGTCTGCATGGGTTTTCTCCAGGTTCCCTGGTTTCCTTCCACATCCAAAAGATGTGCATGTGAGGTTAATTGGTGTGTCTAAATTGTCCCCAGTCTGAGTGGTGTGTGTGTGTGTGTGTGTGTGTGTGTGTGTGTAGGAGGGTGGTCCTTTGATGGAATTGGGTTCCCTGTCCAGGGTTGGGGCCCCCTTGCACTCTGAGCTGCTACAAGAGGCTCTGGACACTCCTGACCCTGCCACCTATCAATAAGTGGGTTGGAAAAACATCATCTTATTTGTTTTTGTAACCAGACAACCAAGGGGTCCAGGGTGCCTGTCACTACTTCAGCCAATTAAGCAGAGACAAGGTTGAATCATATGAGAATTTATTCCAGTAATGCCTGCTGTATGGGAGAGCAGCAGGTCATCCACAAAAATCTGCTCTGCCACTCCCTATAAGCCAGTTGTGGTTTTTTTTGTTTTGTTTTGTTTGTTTGTTTTAAAATATATTTTATTGATTTTTTTACAGAGAGGAAGGGAGAGGGATAGAGAACTAGAAACATCCATGAGAGAGAAACATCGACCAGCTGCCTCCTGCACAGCCCCTACAGGGGATATGCCTACAATCAAGGTATATGCCCTGGACCGGAATCGAACCCGGGACCTTCCAGTCCGCAGGCCGATACTCTATCCACTGAGCCAAACCGGTTCCGGCTATAAGCCAGTTGTTAATATTGGGTAGAAGGACAAAGATTATGTGGGAAAGTAGGAATTACAAGCATGGGAAAATAGGCACAGTATAATCATTACAGATTACATCCCATGCGGGCTGGGTAGGGGGGTCACAGAGGGTGGGCGCCCCAGAACAAGATTAGAGGCAATAGGGGCTTTGGGCTATAAATAGTGGGTGCCTCTAGGACTAGACTATTTCAGCCACGAGGTTGTAAATCTTACCATAATGATAGGTAGTTCTCAGGAAAGGAGGATGGACTGCATTCCTATACTAGCTCCCATGTCCCAGGTATACAGCTCTTAGCCAGGTTAGAATGCACTTTCGCTAATCAAATTAGAGCCATCATGGTTAACAGAGCATGATGAATATTTCTTATAATTGTAGGTGGTCCCCAATATTCCATTTCTGCCACTAACATTCCCCACTGCTTTTTCTATCATCTCAAATCTATGAGATTAGTCTTAGATAAGAAATCTCATCCTGCTGAACTGAATTTGCTTCTGCCTGGAAGGAGAGTGAGTCACATTAAATATGGCGGTGGAGTAAGTGGATGCTGCACAGACATGCTCCCAGGACCAAATTGGAATTACAACTAAAATACAGAAAAACTTCCTGAATAATCCACGGAAGACTCACTGGAGAGAACACTGATAACCAAAGGCTTGAACGAGGAGACAGCACAGAGACTGGCCGGAGGGGCAGAGTGTGACAGGGCTGGCTGGGCTCCCACGGACAGCAACTGAAGTTCTGGAGAGAGATTTCATCTGTGGGAGGTTGCTAATGAGAACTCTGGGGTATAATTCCCAAGCTGGGCCCCCGCAGCAGAGAGCACCAGAACTGAGAAGGGTATCCACATAACATTTGGCTGGGGAAAGCAATAGGGTTGCTGTCTGACAGGGAGAGATGGTTGAAAATTCAGACACTCTTAAAGGGCCAACACACAAATCCCCTGTGAATAAAAAAGAAAAAAAATTCCCTGTGAAGCCACCTATCTTGTGCTCTGACAGAGAGAGAACAGAGTGGACTGGAGCTGTGTAAGCAGAAGCCAGGATTGGGGGTTCTGGGGTAAGAGCTCAGAAGGCAGACACCTGGTCATTCCCTCACACTGCAGAGGTCATCTTTCTAATGCAGACATTTTCTATACAGTTGGCTTTGCCTGGGGGAAGACAAGTGACTCACTCTATTGGAAAACAACTTGTCCCAAGGTGTGGAGTTTCTAAGGCCCAAATAGAGACTGAGAAAAACAATTAGCCTTCAGGCAAAAGCAAATGCTCCAACCCATTGAAAAGAATTTGTGCCACACTTATAGATGACTGCCTGAGGGCAATTGAAGACAGAATCTCATCAGTCTGTGGACAGTGGAGGTCTCTGGAGGCTTTGAGTCTTTGCCTGATCTAATTAGACAGAAACATTATTTGACACTATCCAACACTAGAGATTGAGACTTAGCAGATCTACCTAATGCATAGTCACAAACCCAAATAGGCAGCCAAAATGAAGAGACAAAAAAACAATCCCCAAATGAAAGAACAAGAGAATTATCCAGAAGAAGAGATAAATGAAATGGAAATAAAAAGTTTTCTGATATAGAATTCAGAATAATGATGGTAAAGATGCTGAACAGCATGAGAAAATATATAGTAACTATGAAAACAGAAATAAAGAATGACATAGCACAACTAAAGAACATAATGGAGGAATACACAGCACATTAGGAGAAGCTGATGATTGAACCAGTGAATTAGAAGACATGGTTGAAAAAATTAGAGACACCCCCCCCCCCCCCCCAAAAAAAAAAAACAATTAAAAAAAGGACAGCTTAAGAAAGCT